GAGTAAATTCTGGATGCTACCCACTCAGGACACTTGGAATACATTGGACGAGCAGTATGGAGGAATATTGACACGTTTTTTGTGGACTTTTATGGACCTTTCTGTCTCGGGCGCCATAGACCTCCATTATTTGAATATCAGCAGACAGCAAGAAGCCTCCCAGATCTCCAGATGCATTTGAGATATCAAAAAAGTACTCCAGAGTGTTGTTCAGCATGGGGGTGAGTAGAAAATGAAGGCTAATCATGTTTTGGGTGTACTATTCCTTTAATGTCTAACTATAGACTAAATATAAACATCAGTATATTTTTGTTCTTTTGTGTTCTCAACAATAGGAAAGTCTCAATAAATATATGTTTGAGCCCATTTTTGGAAAATACAAACCCTATTGAAAGAGTTTGTGTCAAGGAACTGTAAGTCCATCAGCCACTACCCTTAGAGTGTCCCCACCAACTTTCATCACAAAGTTACACCTTTAGTATAATATGTTATATTACATGATTTATTGACTTCATTGACTTCATCATGACTATGTAATGTGATGGGCTTATTTTTTTTATTCTAAGTTAAAGTAAATCTATTGATGCTATGAAACAGCCAGTCTGTATCAATGTGATGAATTTATCTTTATTTTAAAAGTGTAAAATCCCTCTGAAAATGAGAACATCATCTGTAGCGCACAGATTGTTTTCATTCCGACCGGTCTAACCAGGGAGAAACAATATGGCGGCTGGTGGCTTCGCTTCAACCCTGTACTACCAACGGACAATCAGCAATTCAGTGAATAAACAGAGATCGGTGGGTCAGACAAGGTGGTGTTTTTTGTTACCCTTTAGGTCGGCGGCACAGAGCACGGCTCCCAAAAATGAAAGTTATGACCAACGCTGAAACAATTAATCACATTAATTGATTATTAGAATAATCGTTAACTAATTTAGTAATCGATGAATTGTTAACTGGTGTGTAGAGACTCTAGAACATGCCTTTAGCTGACAGAGCGACACACTTAGAGCAGGTATTATACCAAGATAGTAAAAAAAAAATCATGTAAATATTTTGCATTTAAGTAAAAAAAAAAACAGTTCGTCTATCTCCTCTATCCAGAACTCAAGTGGAAAAGCTTTAGTTTCACTCAGTTTAATTTAGTAAAAAGTCTAAAGGAACCTTTGGCTGTCCGACTATTAATCAAATAATCTGAAAAAAGAATCAACCGATTAATGGATTTGTAAAATAATGGTTAGTTGCAGCCCTAGTTATGACTGGAATGTGGTTTTCTGGGTCCTGGATGTTTGCTGGAAGCAGTTCTGGATGAAACCAGATAGTTTCCTCCTCAGTATTCAGCTACTCTGATGAAAAGGAAAACATTTGGGATATATGACACGTAGATATGAACATAATGATTGTTTGAATCTTTTATTCTGTCTAAATATTTATTTATACTTGATGTCTAATTCTCTTATTGTGCCTCAATCTTTGGCAATAAAGCTGATTCTGCTTCCCTTCTCTGGTCCATCGACTCTAAAACCAAAAGGTTTATATTTGCTGGTAGCGTACAGGACGAGAACTGGACTTTTTATCTGGTTATTTATTTTAAAAACCCCAAACTACAATAATAAAAACTAAACTTTTCTTATCAGTCCTTTAACTGAAACTCTGTTTCATTTATTTTCCTAAAAGCTGCCATATTTACTACTTTAGGATAATGAAGCAATGAGGCTCTCATGTGTCTTTAAATCAGGTTTGGTTAAATTTTAACAGCAGAATCCAGCTGCAGTCTCAGCAGGGATAAGAAGCTCTGTGATTGGTTGGTCTGGTCTGTTTCACAATATGCAGGAGTTGTTATCATCATATGAATGGCTGAGGATAATACGCAGCCTGATCACAGTAAAGATTTCAGTGTTTTTTTATCACCTAACATAAATCTTAACAGTTGATTAACGAATATTGACCCTATTTGTACCGTCGGCTCATTGTTCTGAATGTTTCAATGTTTCTGACAGATAAACTCTTTCCAAGGAGTCCTGAGCATAAATCCACCTGTTTCTTCCTGAAGAAAATTATCTGCATCAAAAGCAAAAATCACAATTTAATTTAAAGCAGAAAGCTGCACATTTAACCACAGAAATAACTACTGCCACACACACACACGTGTCACACTATAATTGCGAGGACTTTCCATTGACTTCCATAAATCTTAGATTTATTGCTGTGGCCTGACCCAGACCCAGGCTAAACCTAAACTCAGCTCATAACTTAATTTTAAATGCCCAAACATGTAGTTAAGTTCAGGGAAATATTTCCACACATTGGAAAAATTTTCTTGAAATAGGTAAAAATGTCTTAAATTAAGTGTATTTACCCTTAATTGGAGTTGGTAGTTTGTCAATGGTATGAGTATTTTCACTCCTAAAATAAGATAATTAGATAATATGCGCTTGAAATAAGACAAAGCAGTTGTTTTTTCTTTATTTTAAATGTTAACTGTCCTGTTCCATTAGAAAAATTTGACATTTTCCTCCTCAATTCAAGAAAAAAATGAATAATGTAGATTAAAACGTTTTTCAGTGCATGGAAACAAAAATCTCCTTCCAAATAAAAGTGTTTTCTCAGTGTGATTGTTGTTATGGTATGCATTATTATCTTTTGTCAGGGTGTTTAAAAATCAGAGGTCTTTATTTGTCATTGTTAGAATATAATAGAATAGAATTCAACTTTATTGTCATTCCACTGTCACAAGTACCGAGCAATGGAATTAACTCTCTGAATTTAACCCAACCCCTTGGGGAGCAGTGGGCTGCCATGGCGCGGCGCCCAGGAAGCAGTGTGGGGTTAAGGGTCTTACTCAGGGACCCAGATTGGCAGTCTGTGGGTGTGGGGCTCGAACTCAGAACCTCTGGATTCCGTGATCTATGCCCTAACCACTAGGACACCCCCCCCCCCCAAAAAAAAAAAAATAAAAAAAAAAAATATATATATATATATATATGCAAGATTATTAACACAGAAATTAGACGTAGACAAACTTTATTCTCATTTTGTACGCACATGGTGTATACAAAACGAAATTTCGTTCAGTACTGCTCTCAAGACATTTCCGTTTCTTAAAGCTACAGTGTGTAACTTTTAGCGACATCTAGCGGCCAGACTGCAGCAACATGAACATCTCCCCCCCACCACTTCTCCCCCCCCAACAGTACGGTGAGCGTTACGGGACAAAATGTCTTCCACGATGTCCGCATCACCTACCTTCTCAAGTGATGAGGTTTGTTTACATAGATAATTTTACAGATAGTATTTCATTAGTCTGTGTAGGGTATAGATTTCAGTACCGTCTCAGTTCATCTCTCTCAACTTGCCGTAGTTACTTTCGAGCGTAATGGGCGATCTCGCAATCGCTAGTTTGTCGGCTCTGCGCTGCCGTAGCGCAAAGATGTCTGCCTCCATGGCTGCGAGACCCGCTCCTATGTAATTATAAATAACAAATTCTAAGGCAACGCAAATATTAAGGTTAAAAGGCTGAGCTCGTAGATGATGATAAATAACATAGTTATCTATAATATATTACATTTCTGACTGTATATCCCTGTAATTATTACACACTGTAGCTTTAAAGTGCAGCAGTGGTTTCAATCTGAAAAACTCACACTAAGAGCAAAGACAATTAGAAGAAATATATTGATACAAAAACTAGATGTTTGGCGCTCCGACCTCGCCAGGAAACAGCGCTGAAATTTGACAGATCTGCATGAACAGGAGTCAAGAACAGGGCTGTCCCCCCCCCCCCCCCCAGGCCTGAAACTGGTGGTGGAGTGGAGATAGATGGAGTTGGTCAGTCTGTAGACTGATGGTTGGAGAGACGGTCTGCTGAGCTTTATGGGGAGATCCAGTGGACTGGGCTGATACTAGAGCTTCACTCAGGGACCTGGAAGATGGAAGTCCAGTTGGATAACACAGGATGAGAGAACCTGGAGAGGAAAACTCCCCCGTTGGGAAGAAACCTCTGGTAGAACCAGGCTCATCATGGCGGTCTTCTGCTGGTTCTACCGGTTAAGATCAGACAGGGAACGCAGTAAGAGTCCAGGAGGAATGACGCTCTGATGAAGCTTTAGCTATGATGGTGGGGGAGGGGTTGAAATAGAGTCATGAATGAAGTCACAGCGTATCCACCGCCTGCGCACAGGAGCAGACAGGTGAATATCGGAGGCCTTTTAAGATGAGCTTTGGATGCTGATTGGCTTTGGTGGAGGTTTGGCTCAAAGCCGATTGGCTGTCGCAGGTGGATGTATGAAAAAACAGTTTCTTCAGTCGAACTTCCGCCTAGGCTCCATAAAATGTAAACATGATGATCAAATGTAAACATAAAGCTGAGATATGATTTAGTTTTTCCAACTTTCAGACCTTTTTTTGTTGTTGTTGTTTTTTTACATTCAGCAATCTTATGGCGAAGAGGAAGAAGCTGTTTTGGAATCTGCTGGATATTCTTATTGCAGTTGAGTCTATTGACTGTTCATGCGATTGTTGGTAGTTACAGAGAATGTGAGGCGTTCAGGGCACCAACAGCTCCTCATTTGGTCTGATTTTATGTCTCTGCTCCACCTGAAGCTGCTATGAGCTGAAAGATCAAACCCTTCATGGTTCTTCACTGTAAATCAGCATCATGGCTCTCTGGCTCAGGATGAATCATTTTTACCATCTTTCTAAGCTCTGATATATTTTATACCTGATTTTAGTCCTCTGCCCTCATTACATTTACATTTTATTCAGCAAATTACAAACAAATCCACCAGTTAATTAATATTTTAATCACTAATCTTTAAAAAAGTTTCTTATAAATACTCTTTACGTACTAAAACAATGAAAGAGAGGAAACTGCTCAGGATAGAAAGAGCAGTTCGTTCAGGCCACCTTCCGCTGTAGAAATACACACCATAGATATATAAAGGTCCAGATGTCTGCAGATGTGCAGCTCTGAAGTGTTTCTGTGTTTTTGTGTCTTCCAGATCTACGATGCCGAGGGAACGTTGCAGCACTTTATTGATGGGAACGATCCCAGTAAATCCAGTTGGATGAGGTATATCCGCTGTGCAAGACACTGTGGGGAGCAGAACATGATGGTGGTTCAGTACAGGTAGGACCTTCCTCAGCGTTTACCATTTAGGAGGTCAAAGCGGCGCCGCACCGCCTTTTTAATTCACTTTTTCTGATATCGTGTGTAAAGCTGTGTACCTGAACTCTTTACCTGCAAGGGTTCTTTAAGTCCTCTATGTGTCACATCATCATGCATCTTTTATCAGCTTTGAATTGAAGATTTTAAAAGCAAAGCAACTTTATGAATTTCCCCATTCTGGGACAACAAAGGCATGCGCTATTCTATTTTATTCTGTCTTGCTGCTTTAGTTGCCTAGCGATGTGTCTCGGATCTTCAATATCTACTTTCATGGAAGGTTTGGGCTTAAAATCTCCCCATAGATATCTCCTTTCATTCATCCCTGAACACAGATCAGTCGGTGTGTCTCCTTTGCAGAAAAACAGCCCCTAAGCATGATGCTTCCACCACCATGCTTCCCAGTAGATACAGTGTTCTTTGGATGAAACTATTCTCCTACCTCCAAATGCGACGAGTTGAGTTTGTTCCAGGAAGTGATTTTTTGGTCTCTGCATTTACCAGGGTCCGTTCCTTTACTGGTTTTCTAATCCCGTGCTGTGAGAGGTGTAGTGGCAGAGTTCGGTTCCCATTGTTGGGGCTCGGCTTCTCTGCCATGTTTATCCTCTAAATTACCTCTAAATGTTTTAAGTTTTTTTTTTTTTTTATCTCTCCCTATCGTTTTCTTTTTGCAGTAGGAAGCTTCATGAGACGTTTCCTCCATTTTGCTGAAAATGCAAAACAATATCTTTTATCTAATAAACACAAATTAGTTCAAGCCTTTCTTGGTAACAGACTTCTAAAGGTCAGTATTCATCTAATTTTAATCACATCCAGTTATTTATGTATCAAGTTGGATAAGACACCTGCTAACTGAATTATCCACCAAATAATAAGTGATGCTCCAGGAGGAGGCGCTACGTTAGCGACCGTTGGTAGCAGGGCTGTAGCTGCAGCCGAGCACATTAATAAGCAATATTTATAAAGTTATCAGGAGATTTATTCATTATTTGTTGGTTTCTAACAACATCTAATCACACAACATGCTTTGCTTCTTGCTGATGCATCTCATGCAGCCCCTCGAATCAGCAAAGAATTTACTGTGATATTTAGAAACATTTCGAATTTATTTGAATCTGTGAAGGAAGAAAGATGTTAAAGGTCAGTTTTATTAGCTGTGTTGGTTCAACAGTTTATACCTGCAGCAAGCCCTCTGTGTGATGTTTGTTATTTTAAAGGGGACATAGAAAGCAAAAGCAAGTTTCCAATGTCATAGATGAATAATCTATCAGCTAAACAATAATTCAGTGGGTGAAGTTCAAACCCCATCAACACCTCCTTTCTCTGCAAATCTCACAATTCTAAACTTCCACCATAAAACAGGCGAATCCAAAGGAAGCCCCGATTTGACGTAAATTCGGGGCTTCGTTGGCTTATTTGGTTGTGGCCTGTAGTTTTATCACACCCCAAAATTCACATATAGACAAGCCCACTGGTTCACTGGCCCAAGGGGGGGTGAAGTGTCGGCTGCTGGTCCGCTCACTGGACCGGACCTCAGCTGAGAGCCATGAGCCGCCTGTCCTCAGCCGGAGGAGGGGACAAACTAAAATATGTCCACATGTAGTGAAAGTGAAGAATGATGAAATGTGTATGTAAGTGTTATGTAATTATGGGGCACGGTGCGGGATGATTGTCTTTGGCGGCGGCAGATGAGGGTGGGTGTGTGGTGGAGGCCTGGGTGGGGCTCTTCATTGTAGTCGACCAAAATCTCAGACGATTTTAAAATTCCCATTTTTTTTAGGTCTGAAAAGTAGGACATGTCCAGGAAAGAAATCAAAACTCCTGACTTGGATACAGAACCGGGAATACTACAAATATTTATGGATTCATATGCCGGCAAAAATACAAAAGGCATCATCGGCAAATGTTACAGAAATCTAACATGTATGAACAGGAACTCAACTGATTATATCAGACAACGATGGGAAAAGGAAGCAGAAGTACTAATTTCTCCTGAGGCTTGGATGCAGGTCTGGAGGAACGCTCTGTCCACCACAAATTCTTTAACATGGCGCGATTTCTGCTGGAAAAATCTAATCAGATTTTTTATTACACCAAAGCAGAGATCGAGGCTGGGTGGTTTACAGTCCGCTTGCTGGAGGGGGTGCGGTGTGGTCGCAGCAGGTTACTTCCATGTGTTTTGGGATTGTTCGGAGTTGAGGACTTTCTGGGAGGACGTTAACCGATTAATCTATGAAATTATGGGTATTTCCTTGGTTTTGTCGTTTCCTGCTATGTACCTTGGAATACTTCCTGGGGGACTTAATAATGAGGATATATACTTGTTGAAGATATTTATGGATGCAAGCAAGAAAGCGATTACTAAATGTTGGCTCCAGCCCAGACCCCCTAACCTGAAGCTTCTAATAAATATTATAAAAATGATCCATGATATGGAAATATTTACTTTTACAATACGACTCAAGAAGGAGAAAGGAGAGAGACTTTGGGAAAGATGGGATTATTTTATTGCCAAAGGGGTGTAACAGTTAACTTGTGTGAATTCACAGTACGTGGACAGACACCTGTTTTTTTTTTTTTTTTTTTTTTTTTTTTTTTTTTTTATCTATGTTAGAAGAAGATATACAATGTGATATCTGAAGAACTGTAATGCTCATCAGCAAGACTACCTGTTTGCCCTCGCCCTCGTTCTTGATTGTGTGTGTTTGTATGTTTAAAAATAAATAAAAATAAAGTTTAAAAAAAAAAAAAAAAAAAAAGTAGGACATGTCCGGGAAACAGAGGACGTCTGGTCCCCCTACCACATCAACAATCTGATGTTTCAGTGAGTGAGTGCTTGTTGCTATGATGCGTCTTTGCTCAGCAGCTTGGCTCGTTGTAAACCAACCAATCAGAGCACAGCTCATCTAAATATTCATGATCAAACCATAAAAGGAAGAAAAGCTGTGGTTTCATTCTAGGGCTTTTAACCAGGCTGCATTAGGGCTCATAGAACAGCTAATATTCAGCCCAACCAATGTTACACACCCTATTAGAGACCTGAAGGACCAGATACCCTATAGAACCATTCTATCACCCTATTAGAGACCTGAAGGACCAGATACCCTATAGAATCATTCTATCACCCTATTAGAGACCTGAAGGACCAGATACCCTATAGAACCATTCTATCACCCTATTAGAGACCGGAAGGACCAGATACCCTATAGAACCATTCTATCACCCTATTAGAGACCTGAAGGACCAGATACCCTATAGAATCATTCTATCACCCTATTAGAGACCTGAAGGACCAGATACCCTATAGAATCATTCTATCACCCTATTAGAGACCTGAAGGACCAGATACCCTATAGAATCATTCTATCACCCTATTAGAGACCTGAAGGACCAGATACCCTATAGAACCATTCTATCACCCTATTAGAGACCGGAAGGACCAGATACCCTATAGAATCATTCTATCACCCTATTAGAGACCGGAAGGACCAGATACCCTATAGAACCATTCTATCACCCTATTAGAGACCTGAAGGACCAGATACCCTATAGAATCATTCTATCACCCTATTAGAGACCTGAAGGACCAGATACCCTATAGAACCATTCTATCACCCTATTAGAGACCTGAAGGACCAGATACCCTATAGAATCATTCTATCACCCTATTAGAGACCTGAAGGACCAGATACCCTATAGAATCATTCTATCAACCTATTAGAGACCTGAAGGACCAGATACCCTATAGAATCATTCTATCACCCTATTAGAGACCTGAAGGACCAGATACCCTATAGAATCATTCTATAACCCTATTAGAGACCTGAAGGACCAGATACCCTATAGAATCATTCTATCACCCTATTAGAGACCTGAAGGACCAGATACCCTATAGAACCATTCTATCACCCTATTAGAGACCTGAAGGACCAGATACCCTATAGAACCATTCTATCACCCTATTAGAGACCTGAAGGACCAGATACCCTATAGAATCATTCTATTACCCTATTAGAGACCTGAAGGACCAGATACCATATAGAATCATTCTATCACCCTATTAGAGACCTGAAGGACCAGATACCATATAGAACCATTCCATCACCCTATTAGAGACCTGAAGGACCAGATACCCTATAGAACCATTCTATCACCCTATTAGAGACCTGAAGGACCAGATACCCTATAGAATCATTCTATCACCCTATTAGAGACCTGAAGGACCAGATACCCTATAGAATCATTCTATCACCCTATTAGAGACCTGAAGGACCAGATACCCTATAGAATCATTCTATCACCCTATTAGAGACCTGAAGGACCAGATACCCTATAGAATCATTCTATCACCCTATTAGAGACCTGAAGGACCAGATACCCTATAGAATCATTCTATCACCCTATTAGAGACCCGAAGGACCAGATACCCTATAGAATCATTCTATCACCCTATTAGAGACCTGAAGGACCAGATACCCTATAGAATCATTCTATCACCCTATTAGAGACCTGAAGGACCAGATACCCTATAGAATCATTCTATCACCCTATTAGAGACCTGAAGGACCAGATACCCTATAGAATCATTCTATCACCCTATTAGAGACCTGAAGGACCAGATACCCTATAGAATCATTCTATCACCCTATTAGAGACCTGAAGGACCAGATACCCTATAGAATCATTCTATCAGCACTTTAACTATTAACAATAGATCAGCTTGAAACCAGTTGCTTTGTTTACACCTCTACTCAATAAACGAGTATTTGGTATTAATTTGATAAACCTTTTTTCTAAAGCATCACAGAGTTTTAAAATTGGTTAGATGAATATATTTTTTTATTAACCTGCTTTGTTACTTCATGATGAACTTCATGATGAGGTGTATAGAAGAGCAGGAAGCCAGAAAAAGCACAGAAAAGTATCTATTAATGAGTGTTAAAAGAGGCTTGGACAGTCCTTAT